ATTCATTTACTTAACCAGTAATCTGCTAACAAAGTACTTCAGTGCAAACATACACATACACAATATATGATGCACTGCCAACTTGCAGGTGATGTAATACACTTTCCTCCTATGAATATATTCTCACAGATATTTGATCACAGTCTTCTCATCTCAGAGAGCACCTGTGATGACCTACACTGGACCTCTCAAATTGTATTTCCCCACTTTTACAAGCTCCCTATCACTATCTCGCTCGCTTAAACCATTTTGCCACATGCTGTCCTTACCTCTCTACCAATCACATTAAGATTTAAATTTCTTCCAGCCACCAGCTCAAGGGCACTTGAAAGCCCCGATGAAGGGAAAAGTAGAGAGGCTGTTTTCTTGCGAAAGGCCTCCATGCTGCGGTTTGGACTTAAATCGATTACATGCATTGTTCGCTCCTCCAGAAAATTGATGTCTGGAGTTTTCATTGTTTTGCGATACATGGCCATGCCTGAGAAGAGACTCATCGCTTATCAATGTGAACAATCTCCAATAATAATTCTGTGACTTTTTTTCTAGTGTAATCCCTCCACAAAGTGTCTTTGAAAAAAGTGACGGCAGAACAAACAAACTTTGATTTTACTGCTAATGCCTTTTTCCTAATGCTGCCTTCTACATTTTAAGGATACAAACTCTTCATCATGATGAAACTAATGCAGAAGTACCGTACATGAACTTTAATAGCTTATGAGAGATAATTATGGTATTATCATACATCTAAATATGTATATTCCAGTAATATCTTGTAGTCTTTTAGTAGACCTTATTTAGCACATTTAATAAGCAGCTAATATACAATATTAAGCAGGGACGTGCACAGGAATTTTGTGGGGCAGTTGCTCTGACCTGAAAAAAGGGCACTACCCCCAAAACTCACGGGCTATATGAAGGAATATATTCAGTTGAATTTTGCCCATACAAATTGCCTTATCTGATCGTGTTTATGTCCAAACGCAATGCCTCATATTATGGTCTTATTATTATTTATAAAGATTGCAAACGTCAAAGATGACAGGTTTATGATATACAACTTTGTAAACAGTATACAAAATGTATTAACAATATGTTAAATGTCACCAAAATACACATGAGAAAAAGAGTTCCTCATATTATTGTTTATTGTTTTTTAATTATTATTATTATTATTATTTATTATTTTTAAATAAATAATCTGGATTGAATTGACAGATGGGGAAAAACTCGCTTCTAATAAAAATAAAAAAAACGCTTAGATTTCGGAAAAAATACAATCCTTTTTTAACCTTTTGGCTTCCCGTACATTCAATTGTGCTTTTTGCTCATCTGGGCAACTACGCATGATTTGTAGTATGATTGCGTAAAGGGAACAGGAATTCCGGTAAGGAACAGAATCGACTGCTACACCCACCGATCCTGACCTCCCTGGGGCCCTAAGCAAAATTCTGCTAAGGGGCCCTCTACCTGACCCGTGATGTCGTGAGCTATGTAAACCATTTGCCATTGCCACAGTCACACCTGACACTTCAGCGCTCCCATACAATCCTCCCTCCTTTAAACAAAACAGTCAAAGAATAAGTACAACAATATAGAACAGAATGAGGTTCAAACACACAATATTTATTGAATAAGAGTATTTTCTATAGAATGTTAAGATAATAAGTGAATATTATTAAGTAAGTGAATATTAATGTAAACATAAATAAGAAGAAAATAATAAATAATAACCCTGAGCTTTGGCTTTTGGGATTAACTTTGGTTCTTTCTACAGCCTGGGCATTTTCGGCATCAGTATGATTTATTTATTTGTTTTTTATTATGCATGTTGAAGCAATTCTTGATTTATGGTTATTATTTACTGAGGGATGTGCATCCATTTTGACCAGTATGTCCAGCTAATCAACATTTTTAATTCAATATAGCCTATAAATCAATAGTCAATCAATGTCAAATTGTCAATACATTGCTTTCTATCTTGCATAATTAGTGCAGTTGTTTAGAGTTTTTAACTACACTGAGACTAGATAATCAGTGTCTTGTTTTATAATGTGTACTTTGATTGGGAGTGCCATCATTCACGTGCATATATTGTACAGTATGTCTGGTCTCCACATATTTCTGCTTGAAAAATGCGAGTTTCATTTCGGCAACGCGCATATGAACGCACGATAACACACGCGACGCGGTTATGTTTTCCGAGCTGCAGTAAACAAACACCGTTGCACTTTGTCGTTTATCAAAATCAAACGTAATAAATAATTTTATTTTACTCTCACTTTTGTCAGCCACAAAGGGATGCAAGAGATGCACTGCCTGCCCAGCTAGGTTAGCAAGACCAAAAAACATCAAACTTTGCTGACATCAAACTTAGAGAGGAGAGAACACAAGTTTACTTGATTGTTGTTCCCGCAATTCACTCTCATGTTTTTTTTCTTCTTCCTCTTTTCGTGACCAGAAGGATAGGTTGGGGTAAATGTACAACTTGTAACGACTGGAAATAAGGTGTGGCCCCTTTAAGAGCTGTGCGCTCCCGTTGAGCTGTGCGCTCCAGTTGAACTGTCGGCAGTATTGTATGTGCCTTGGACCTCGAACACCCCTTTTACTGTCTATGCGAACACCCCATGTATGCGGGTAATTTCTGTTTGATGCTAATTTTTATCTTAATTTGTTTATTAAGTAACGATGTGGACGGTAGAACGTGTGACAGACAGTTAGGCTACACGAGTTCGATTTGGGAATAAAGTGCGAGTTGTGAGATGCCAATCGCCTCCGTGTGTCTGTCTGGCCTCTGCATGCAATAACTTCAGTTGTGAGCTATCCCTAATCTTCCTGAAGCAACGCGTTACAAACTGTACTTCAGTTTCATTGCGGGGACACCACCTTTACCTGCCATCATGTCTATCGGCTCGCTTTCGGGTTAAACTTTCCGCGACTGCGCAACTGGGTTATAGGTTGCCAGGTTGAGGTGACAAACGGGTTGAAATTGTAAATGGTCTGTGGATTGTGTGAATATAATGCATTTAATACAATCTGGCAACTGGTCAACATTAGACAAACATATTGGTCCGATTATTCATAAAGGAGTTTGGGCCATGCAAATTACGGGAGTTTCCCGGGAGAAATAACAAACCGGGAGGGGTCCGGGAGATAGGGCTAAAAAACGGGAGAAACCCGGGAAAAACGGGAGTGTTGACAGGTATGGCAGTTGCCCGGGCAACCTGAGCAACCCCCCTGTGCACGTCCCTGATATTAAGTGAATATCATAAATTTAGATTGTTCAACTGAAATACAGTATAACTCTTTTACCCGATTATTGTGTATTGTCCTCTTATTTTTTGGTAACTGAAATAAAGCTGAAATAAAATATAAATATTAGGAGTAATATTAATTACTAAAGTTACTAAAACTAAAACTTAAAAAAAAATGACCAAAGCACATAACAATTACTAAAATTTAAACTGAAATTAAAATGAAAAATATATAAAAATAAAAGCTCATTAAAAATATTAATAAATGCTATAATACTATATAAATAATCTAAAATAACCTTAAATGAGTTTGATGAAAACACTTGAGAAACAACCAGCAACTTGTCATGTATTTTAGCAGTACTTTAAGAAAAAAAAAACAATTCTATCAGGATGAATTTATATGTTATTTGTACCGTAATATTAGATAAAGTTACTTTACCAGTAATATACACAACATTATTCAATTGTCTAGCAGGAAAAGTCTTGGGTTTTTTTTTTGCGTTATGTAAGTGAATTTGATTAGCTTATGAGATGGTATCATCACGCTTGTGATAGTGTTATGGTGTGTTCACATTTGACGCTCTATTCGCGTTCGGTGTGAACACCATTAGTGCTGATAATGATTTTGATTGTCAAGTCACATTTATTTATATAGCGCTTTATTACAATACAGATTGTTTCAAAGCAGCTTTACAGACATAACAGGAAAATAATGCAAAAAAGTTTGTTTCCAGAAGAAAATAGCGTCACAGTCCAGCTTAAGTAAGTTTAGTGATGTTTAATTTTTTTTAAGTTATTAATTTAGTTCATTTATATATATATATATATATTATTATTATTATTATAGCCGCTCTGGAGTAAACCGTGATGTCATCGTCCAGCTCAGTTCAGTTCTTGTATAATAGTGTGTTTTTAGTCTAGATTTAAACTGACAGAGTGTGTCTGCTTCCCGGACAATGTTAGGAAAACTGTTCCAGAGTTTAGGTGCTAAATAGGAAAAGGATCTACCGCCAGCAGTCGATTTTGATATTCTAGGTATTATCAACTGGCCAGAGTTTTCAGATCGCAATAGACGTGAAGGATTATAATGGCGTCAAGAGCTCGCTCAAGTACTGGGGAGCTAAACCATTTAGTACTTTGTTAGTAATCAGCAATATTTTAAAATGCAAATGATGTTTAACAGGGAGCCAATGCAGTGTTGACAGAACCGGGCTAATATGATCATACTTCCTGATTCTAGTGAGAACTCTAGCTGCTGCGTTTTGGACTAGCTGTAGTTTGTTTATTATGCATGCAGGGCAACCACCCATAAGATCATTACAATAATCTAGCCTTGAGGTCATGAACGCATGAACTAACTGTTCCGCATTTTTCATTGAAAGCATATGTCGTAATTTAGATATATATTTAAGATGGAAGAAATGGTTTTACAGATGCTAGAAACATGGCTTTCAAATGAAAGATTGATCAAAGAGCTCACCCAGGTTCCTAACCGACGACGAAGAATTGACAGAGCAGCCATCAATTGTTAGACAGTATTCTAGGTTAGTACGTGCGGAGGTTTTTGGTCCAATCATTAGAAACTCTGTTTTTTCAGAATGAAGTAATAGGAAATTACTAGTCATCCACATTTTTATATCAGCTATGCATTCCGTTAATTTCTTGAATTGGCAAGTTTCGTTGATTGTCACACAACAGTTAAATTATTGCCATATTAAATAAGTGTGTGTATGTGTGTTGATGCAGGGTATGATGTACTTGGAGGAGAGGAGACTTGTGCACAGGGATCTGGCGGCTCGGAATGTCCTAGTGAAGTCCCCCAACCATATAAAGATCACTGACTTCGGCTTGGCTCGCCTTCTGGATGCAGATGAGAAGGAATACAACGCAGATGGTGGAAAAGTCAGTGTCACATGACCCCAACAAGACAAAGGGCATGCACTGACCCAGTTAATATATGCTTTTTGTGTTGGAAGTCAAAAGATTTGCTGCACTCTTTGTCTATGGGTTTTAGAACACATCTCCTTATGACAGGCTAATTAACAATGCTTAATAAGGCAGACTACAAGACAGAAGATTATTGCTCTGCACGCTTTCAAAGACTCATAGGTATCAGGGTCATGTTGGTGTGCACTTTACATGACTACCCATAGACTAGTCTGGAAACACATCTAATGAAAGGTCGATTTCAAACCATTTCAAAATGTATTATAGTGGCTGGGAATAGTCTTGGCATGTAACTAAGAAATGTGTGCTTCTAATTTTCTGAGTGATCAAACTTACTGTTTTCACCTGGCGAGAAAATGGGCAAAGAAATTCTGCTTTACATTAAAGGAGAAAGCCAACACTCTAACAAATATTTTGTTAAGTATATATACATTTATTTCCAGAAATTCATCGTACAAAATATAGACAAAATGTTTTACAGGTATTACGGAATGGCATATTTATGCCTGTATTTTACATATTATAATCATATTTTTCATTAAGTGACAATGTTAATATAGCAAAATCAGCTTTTTACCTCAATAACCACCATAGAAATACAGGTGGTAAAATATAAAGGCACATGATGATTCAGAGTCCATAAAACATGGTCAGTATATATGGTGCACAGGGTCATACACGCAAAGACAAAACGCCATGAGGGTACCACACTAACATAATATAATAAACAGTAACTAAATAACAGAAACACCTTAATGTACATTACTAATAACAAAAATGAGTAGAAACTCAGCTGTTTATATTAAATATCATATGTGATGCGTCAGGCAATGACTTCTTGGAATAGCCTTTTACCGTAAATTATATGGAAATACTTGGGTTTTACTGCAAAAAGCAGTAACATTACATATAATGTGACAGAACATAGGTTAAGGTGTTTACATGCCTGGTGAAATCGGGGTAATGGCCAAAATCTAGCTGTGTCGATTGGTTCATTCTTAAGCCGTTTATGAGCGGAAAAGAAAACGGTTTAATGCTTTTAAACGTGCATGTTAATGCACTTGATCTGATCTTATCCATCTGAATCTCCCTCTTGTTGCCATACTGGAATAGAGCATCCTGGGACTCGCTCTGCTCCGTTCAGCTTCAACCAGCTACCATTTTAAATCAGCCATGATTGTTTTTCCACATAGGAGAAACTGTAAACATCTTGAAGCTCTAAAGTGTTAGTGCAGTTTGATACCCAGCAGCTCTGCACACACATTTACCCCAACCTGTTTCGTATGTTTCCCTTTAAAGCAAAAGATGAGAAGAATCAGATATCACTGATTATTCCATTTCTGAAATATTAACTTACCAGACCTCATAAATAATGCATAAGGTTTGGTTTTAGCGGTGTAAGCTTTGAAGTAACTTTGTCAAGTTGCGTAAATAAACAATAATTCAGTACCCGTTGTGCTCACTTGAACTTTATTACATTTTCATGTACTGTATCATTGTGTGTTTTTTTTATTCAACACAAGCCGTTGAAATGTTCCCTATTGTTTTTTCAGATGCCTATAAAGTGGATGGCCTTGGAGTGTATCCACTATAGGAAATTCACCCACCAGAGTGACGTATGGAGTTACGGTGAGATTAGCCTTAATTACAGTTACATGCCTCAGTAAAATGTAATTTATCTCATTTCAAGTTTAATTTCAAGTTTTTGTTAATGCAGCCAAACTCTGTATGAATTGGGCAAACAGTCTTAGCACATGCCTACAAGCTTTTTAAATTGTTCATTTTATTTTTTCCCAGGAGTGACTATCTGGGAGCTGATGACATTTGGAGGAAAGCCGTACGATGGAATCCCTACCCGAGAGATCCCTGACCTCCTGGAGAAAGGAGAGAGGCTTCCTCAACCTCCTATCTGCACTATTGACGTCTACATGGTCATGGTCAAATGTAAGAGAGCTTTGCACAAATTTTCATCCCAGATTGTTTATTTATTTTTTAACTAGGGCTGTGAGCGTAACACGTTAACGCATGTGATTAATTCAAAATCCAAAGACTGCGCTGCGACTGCGCTGATCACACATTGTATTTATGCACAGACACATTCGTGATAATGTTATGATTTGTCAAGTGTATGTTGCTGTGTTTAGTAATACTGAATGGATCCATTTACTGTTGAAGGCATATGAAGTCAGGCCAAGGCAGTTGGTTTAGTTCTTTTTTTGGCATCTCCATGTGTTCCTGTTCTGTATCGCAACTTGACTTGTCTAAAATTTAAACAAGCTCTTCTGTTGCGCTATACACTATGAATTCAAGTTTTCCTGTAATGATTTTTGACTGTTTGTTTGTTTTTTATGTGTGCTTGTGCATAAATGTATGAATTATATGGACTTCTTATTTTGGTTATTTGGTGTCCTTTTAGAGTCAAAAAAAGCTTGCAGAAATCAAGCGTAGTGTCAGTTCTGGCAGGACACGTTAGTCAAGCTCGCATCAGCTGACTCTCAGCTGATCCACGTCTACCTATAGGAATACGACTCCTATCACTGTATACATATATAAGCTCCTTCAGTATTATCAGCAGCTATCGCGTTTCTCAGGAGCTCATTACCCTCCTCCATCCCCAGCTCCTCCTCTCGCCAGTCAGGATTTGGCATTCTGATTCCCCCTGAATAATCTATTGGCAGCCCTAGTTTTAACACACCATGATAGAAGTTCTTATGTAGTGTTCAAGCAGGTCGGCTTAGGAAACCTTCTGAGTTTATACTGTAGATCAATGGCCGTTGAATCTTGTAGTTGTACACAAGTAAACGGCTATATAATTATCAATAAGAGATTGTAGATTCTTAATTCATTTAAAAAAAAAAGACATTTAAAATTGTTTTTAAATCTAGAGGAAATAATTAGTTATGTGGTAATCAACAGCGTGTGGTAGATACTGTACTCATTACCCCCTTTTAAATGTATTGCTCACTGCATTGTTTATCCATTTTGGTCTACTTTGCTGACTGAAGTTGTGCTATGTGTGTCCCGCCAGGCTGGATGATAGATGCAGACAGCAGACCAAGATTTAAGGAGCTTGCAGCAGAGTTTTGCCGAATGGCAAGAGACCCACAGCGTTACCTAGTCATCCAGGTAAGAGCTTTACAGCTTGGCACAACTGACCATGGTTGTGATGAGAGTCAGGGATCTTAAGTTCGGTTCAGTTTATTTATAAAGCACACTTAAAAATAACAGACTGTTGACCAGTGTGCTGTACAATAATAAAATCTATAACAGAAAAAAATGATAATTAATACATGTAAGTATCATAAAAGTGTTATTTCTCTGCATAATGCATAAATATCTCAAGCCTGGTTATCTCTGTGCCAGGGGGACGACCGCATGAAGCTGCCCAGCCCCAATGACAGTAAGTTCTTCCAAAGTCTGCTAGATGAGGAAGAACTGGAGGATCTGATGGATGCCGAGGAGTATTTGGTGCCACAAGCCTTCAGTATTCCTCCACTGGCATATACAACCAGATCACGCATGGACCCCAACAGAGTGAGTGTACTTACAGTTCGTACACTCACACACAGTGTCTTTAGCTTCAGTAATTTAATAAACCATGCTCTGTCAAAGACAGTATATAGCATAGACGGTCCACTTGTATTTAGGCTACTCTAGTAAAGGTAAATAAATACCCACTCGGCAAAGTCAGGCTTTATCTTTACAACACCTGCCTTTTGTTTGGTGCTGCAAAATGTGAATTGGCTAAACCTAAACTAAACTAAACCTAAAATGTATTAAATATACTGTATGCGTGCGTGCGTGAGTGTGTGTGTGAGCGTTGTTATACACATTAGTGTTCAAAGGTTTGGGGTCAGTAAGATTTATTTTTTATTTTTATGAAATTTATATTTTTATTCAGCAAGGATGCATTAAATTGATCAAAAGATTTCCACATTTATTGATACAAAAACTATATTATTTCTGTATTATTCTATAGTCTTTTGAACTTCCTATTCAAATGTATCATGGTTTCCATGAAAATGTTATAACATTGATAAGAAGATTTTGGAGCACCAAATCAGCATATTAAATGATTTCTGTTGGAAAACTGGAATAATGGCAGCTTAAAATGTATTAATGAAAATATATTAAAATAGAAAACTGTTTTAAAACTATTTTAAACTGTAATATTCACAATTTCTCACACAGTTTCCAGCAAATAAATCCAGCCTTGGTGAGCATGAGAGACCTTTTACAAAAACATTTTTAAAAATCTTATTGACCCAAACTTTTGAACGATAGCACATTATAAGTTTAACAAGCAGTTTTTGAGTGTTTTCAGTTATAGAGGTGCTGTATAACAGACTTGAATGAATAGACTAGCCCCAAAGGTGACTTTGGGTTGGGATCTGTCAGGGTTTAGTGGCTAAATCAGATTTTATTTTGTCGGTGCAATTGTGTGACCTCTTTTAAAATCATTGGATTGTCGTCATTTTAACTCTTTAAAAGTTCCTATAACTTCATCTGAATACTTTAAATCATGGTAAGCCCCAGATATTTTTGGTAAAAAGTTGGCACTCTTCAGGAAAATTGTATAGAAAATAGCATTTGAGTCATCAAATATTGAAATATTTTTAGTAGGCAAAGGACAAGAGGTCGTTGATGCATTGACATATACATCATGCATGCAACACCTTCAAATTTGGGCGTTTTGCACATATTTACATATTTTAGGATAGCTTTTACATTTTAATGCACTTTTAGTTCTCACTCATGAATCTCTATTTATTGCTTGTCTGAGGCTGAATTGAGTTTTCAGATGAGTCTATCATCTAACTGACTTTGACCTTGGGGTGGATGGATGCTCCCCTAGCCAATTAAGTGCCGCCCACACGAGCATTTCAGAAATCCCGGTACACCATTCCTACACCGACAGATGCTACTCTCCCAGAACGAACCTGACTGCCATTGAAATAAGGAATGCGATGACAACAAAAAAGGAAGTCTCGTTCATAGCATAAATAATTCCCCTTGGTGATGAAGGGTATTGAAATGCTGAGATTCTTTTTTTTATTTCCAGGTGCTAATTTGTCTTTAGAAAGCAGCAGTGCTTTTGTGACTTGCATTAAGGTTTTCCTGTGGAGTGGGGGAGAAAAATAAAGTGGCCCTCACATATGTGTGCCTATAATGGGCTCCATGCCTGGGCTTTCATTACAGAGGCATGCCAGTGTAAATAACTGGGTCCTCACTAAAGTGAAGATGATATTTGCCCATCGACAGGAAGACCAGAATGGGTATTTGCTCTGTGTTAGGCAGCCATGAGCATGTTATTAACTGTTGGTGTGTACAGCGGCAATGGGAAAGGACAGCCATTTGGGATGCAGCTCGAACAGCTCTTAACTGTAACTTAGAAAGACAAAATCTCAGGGTTCAATCATTCTTTACCAGGGACTTAGTGAGGGTGTGAGAGTGTGTGGGAGGGGAGGGGGGGGGGGGGGTGTGATGAAATGTTTCCTTTTTTCTCCTGGACCATGTTCGCTAACCATGTGTGCCATTTTGCATTCTAACTTGCGTTTTGTTTTTGTCTAACTGGGAGAGAAAAGAGAGTGAGCGGTATGAATATCAATGAGGGACATCAATCCTTCAGAGCCTCTTTGGAACATTACAGAAATCTTTCGCCTGCAGTTTGCCGTATAAACTGAGCTTTGGGAAAACAAAACTCTGCCAAATAACCCAAACAGCGGATTGCAATATTAACTCAAATTCATCTCTACTCAAAATGTTGTGAAGTTTGAGCATAATGGAAAAAGCATTTGTGTGTATGTGTTTCAGCTCCGCCTTGGTCACAGAGTTGTATGTGTTTAATGGGAAACTAGGAAAAAAAGCTTATTTTTTTTTCAGGTTTGGCATAAACATTAACAACTACTTTATTTAACTTTTTTTTTTAAATGTGTTGGGAAATTCCTCAGACCTATGCAAGGATAGCTGTGTGGTATGATCGAAAGTACCATGTGATGGTAGATATCTGTGTATTTTAAATTGAAGTAAATATTGAAAAAATATGTTTTTATTCAATATTAATTTGTGTATTAAGTAATTGTATTTTGTTTATATTTTTAAATATTTATTTTTATTCCTTAGATATTTGAAATTGTATTAATCATTTATTGAATAATTATTCAATAAATTGAATAATTTATTTGCAAGATTATCCAGTAATATGCTTTACCACATATTTATTGAAATACAAACTTTCAGTTAATTCCCAGAAGAAAGTAACTACTGTGATGTATACAGTTACTGTGATATAAAAATACTCATTTTGTGAGACTGCCCACCCCTTATATTAAACAAGTATAGTTTACTTCACTCTCTATTTCCTCTTCTTCATACTAATACTCTAGCCAGCAGCACCCTTCATTCACAGCAATGAGCTCCAGACTGCTCAAATAGCATTGTGGGTGTGTGCTGGGGAAGACAGGATGGGAAAAGTTTTGAGCTTAGTGGGGAGGTGGAGGGAAAAAAATTTGAAGGAAACAGACATTGAATTCAGGACACAGACAGAGTTTCTCTGAGCAGACAGAACACCTGCAAACTTACTGCAGAGAGATCGCAGCATTAATAGAAAAGAGCTCCCACATAACTAGGTATTGCCATGGTTTTGGAATGGTATATATCACACTCTAAATAGATACTGCTGACAACCATATAAATACCATAATGAATGAATATGGCATGGTATTATTCAGTACCATGGTATATATTAATAATTAAAGTACCATGGTATTAGCATAAGATACCGTAAAAACTTGTCCCGGGTGACTGCGTGAATTTTTGCAACAGTTTTGCCAACACAAGTTCAAAGCGAGACTGAAAAACAAAGACAAGCAGACGGAGAGAATCTGAGGATTAGGAATAAGAAAAAAACAAATAGATTAATTGTGATGTGATTTCTAATTGCATCAGGAGAGCTGTGTTCCTACACTCACGTCTGTTCATTCACTGATGCCAAGTTTTCATTAAATCTCAAACTGTATTAATATTTGGAGACTCGTTAGTATAAAATATTTGCCGCTTGAAATGTTTAATTGTAAAGCAAACAGAAATAGATCACTGCATAGATACTAAAAGGCTTGTTCGTGTTTCTGCAGAACCAGTTCGCATACCAGGACGGCAGCTTCGGCATGGAGGAGATGATGGCCACTATCCCACGGGTCGTGGCTGTGTCCGCGGTCAGCCCGGGCTGTTCCGTTCAGAAGCAATCTATGTCCCAGCAGGGGGCCTCAGGGTCCTCTGAGGCATTTGAAGACAGCCGCTGTAATGGCACTCTCAGGAAGAAGGCTTCACCCAGGGCGAGCACCGGGGAGGACAGCAGTGGCCAGCGGTACAGTGCAGATCCAACTGTGATGCTGTGTGAGCGTGGAGCCAGAGCTGAGACCAACCAGGATGGATACATGGGCGCTATGCAGGACAAAAAGCCCTCAGGTACTGGAGGAATAAACTGGAGTGAGCAGGAGTGGTAGAGGAGATAGATCTAAGAGAGCTCACATAGAGATGTTACGCTTTATCCAAATTATTTATCCAGTGTCATTGGTAACCCTGGGTTGTCTTTGTTCAATGATTCACACTGTTCATTCTTTTGCCCAGTGGTAAGTGATTAATATGTAGATTTAACTTTGTAAATTGAAAACCCTGGTTTACAGTTCTTGCATATTTACAAGGGTAATAATATTGCCTCAACAAATACAGCATGAAGCCTGGATTAATAACTGTTTGTTCATCTGTGTAAATTTCACCACTCTGGACTTTTTAAAGGGATAGATCACCCCCAACCCCCACAAAAAAATGTGTATATGTGTATATATATATATATATATATATATATTAATTTACACACACTCATGTCATTCCAAGTCTGTATCACTGATTTTCGTCTGTGGAGCACAAAATAAGATTTTTTTATTAAAAAAAAAAAACCACTGAAACAATTCTTAAAATATGTTATTTGGTGTTCCACAGAATAAAGTCAGAATAAACCTTTAAAGGGTTAGTTCACCCCAAAATAAAATTTATCCCATAATTTACTCACTCTAAATCCATCCTGGATGTATATGACTTTCTTCTTTCAGCCAAACACAATGGTAGTTTTATTTAAAAATATTCGGGCACATTTATTAAATCTACTTAAATGTCCTAATCGCACTAAGTTACCTTTAATCTAAGACCTGTCTGTGAAATAGGGCTGCAACAACTAATCGATAAAATCGATAATAATCGATTATGAAAATCGTTGTCAACGAATGTCATTATCGATTAGTTGGTCTGCTTACGTCACGGGGAGTGTTTACTGGTGATTGGTTGAAACAGGCCAATCAGGATGCTCTCTGTCTTACACGCGCTTCATGAGGCACACACGCACATACACGCAAGGTCTCTCTCCCTCCGTTGCTCTGCCGCGCGCTCGCGCTACACGGTTTGGAGCACAGTCTCTTCTGTCTCGCATGCGCGCTCTTGCTTGCGCGCTCAAATCCCGGGAGTTTGAACTAATTTGCGAGGATCAGGGAGCCGCTATCAATATGCGGGTGACTCCCAGAACTTCCGGGAGACTTGGGATGTCTGTATTTTCATAGACAGTAAAAGAAATGGACAGAGCGATCTCATTGGAACTCAGTTGAGACAGTTGAAGCCCACTTTTAGCGATTTTTGAAACTTCCGTTCCTGACGCGCAGACTCAGACCGACTCAAACTAAGCTTGATGACGTGAGCAACCTGTCTGACAGACGTTAATCTTCTAGTAGCTGTGCGTGAAAACTGCCAATGTTAATCTTGCAGAGACGGGGAACTTGAGCAAAGAGTTATTTGGCGTGAGTGAGCAGGAGTAAGTATTCCGTTGCTTTTATGGACTCATTATCTATGGGCTTCTCCCTTGACGGGACGTCCCCCCGATTGCCTGCGAGCTTCTCCTCCTGTCTGTACGGTCATTTCTGTACAGCGCGACAGAGAGTCGAGTGGTTATGACGCAATCGTTAGCCTATTTTTACTAAATCTGTTTCTACGGGGCCATAATGTAACATAGAAGGTAATGGAGCCCTTTATACATTGTCGTGTTTCTTTAGAAATAAATAATGGACAAATGGAGTCTTTAAACGCCTCAGATGTAAAGTTATTCGCTGTCAAAGTGACGCCAAAATGACTGGGAGTCAATGGAAATGCTAACGCAAGTGAAGTTCTGCTACAACATGGCGGCACCCGGCCGGCTTCAACTTCCGGTCGATGGATTACCCCCTTGTGTATTTTGCGTCTCGAGCATCAGGTTGGGCAATCAGTTCGCTCGCAACATAAGTGATGGATTAAAATAGTGCTACCGCAGAAATATTAAATTAAAACGGTCTTTACAAAGCGAAGCACTAAATATAAAGGCAGTTAATAACAGCAGCAGTAAAATATTGTTTTTTAGTCACTGTATGTTTCAGCGAATGTTTGTGCACTAATGCATAATTTTTCCTGTCTTTTTAATCAAGCCTGTTAGCTTGCTGCGTACCTCCATTACGTTCTCTTTATATAGCATTTGTCTACTATTAAGTTTTAATTGTTTTTCAAACGCGATCTACTGCGGCTCTATGTTCACACGCTTGTTTTCAGTCTTTCTATATTTATTTTTTACAAATTATCCTTATAATTCAATTAATTTTAAATAAAAATTAAATGAATTATATATTTTAGATGTTTTTAGTTTATATCTTCACATCTGAACAACATGTCTGTAAATTTGTTTTAACAAAAATTGTGTTAAAACAATATGTTGGATATAAATGTTTTTTTTTTTTTACATTAATCATGGTTGTCAACTTGCCATCAGCAATTATCATTAAAAACGATGCAAATATTGATATTTGTAAAACTCAAAGTGTGGCTTGTGCACTTTTTAAAGTACACTTTTACACATAAATATCCTAATTTAGGGTTTTAGGTAACACTTTATTTTACGGTGTCCTTGTTACATATGTTACATGTACTTACTGTAGTAATAACAGTAAATTATGCATAATTACATGCAACTAACCCTCAACCTAATCCTACCCTATTCCTATAGTAAGTACATGTAGTTACTTAATATTACTCTGTACTTAAATATATAATTACACTGTAACAAGGACACCTTAAAATAAAGTGTAACCGGGTTTTATTTAGTCATAATAAACAAAAAATCTAATTGAATTTTTTTTATCCGATTAATCGATTAATCGGAAAAATAATCGTCCGATTAATCGATTATCAAAATAATCGTTAGTTGCAGCCCTACTGTGAAACCAGGCCTAGGACTTGAGAGAGCATTCAATTGAGTCTGTGAAGAAAACCTGCTTAAATCAATGGTAAATCGACGTTATCCTTAGAGCACTTGCTGGCACAATGTTGCCCACCTTCTCTCTTCTCACTGCTCTTTTCTTTTCTCTCGCAGATTATCTCAACCCCGTGGAGGAGAACCCCTTTGTCACCCTTCGCAGAAACGGAGAGGTCCACACTCTTGAGCGAGGTTACCACAGCACCTCCAACGGGCAGCCCAAGGTGGAGGATGAGTATGTCAATGACCCTCTGTACCTCAACACCTTCCAAACCTGTGGGGAAAAGAGTCACGACGTTTTGAGGAAGAATGGGGTCCCTGTGGCACACACAGCAGTGGCACCAGCAGTAGTAGCAGCAAATACGGTAACTTCCAACAGTCAAAATCTTTCCCAAACCATGCAACCGGCAGCACCCAGTGCCCACATCTCAACACAGCCACTGTACCAAGGCAAACAAAGCATTTCCACCCTCTCAGGCCACACCCTCCATTCTGCCCATCCCGGACACACCCTCCACCCAGCACACAACCTCCATCCCGCTCACTCCGGGACCATCAAAGCCGACATAAAGCCCAAAAAGACATTTGACAATCCTGAGTACTGGCAGCACAGTCTTCCCCCCAAGGCAACTCTCCACAACCCAGAATATCTGCAGGACTGCAGCACACGCTTCTTCTATCGGCAAAACGGTCGGATCCGACCTGCCGTGGCCGAGAACCAGGAGTACCTGTCAGAGTATGCGCTAAAACCGGGCACCGTATTGCCGCCGCCTCCCTACCGCCAGAGGAACACTGTTGTGTAGCAACAACGACCGAGACAAAGAAGGAAAGATGGAGGTAAAGAGAGAGTCATAGTGTGTTCTCACCCTGGCTCTCACACCAGCATCCTGATCTCTCCGCTCTTCTCTGAACTGGATTTAACACCCAACCTCCAACAACCTGGAACTGATCCACTTGGGTGAGCTTCTCCTCCAGAGGCACTGGTCACATATGACCACATCAATCTGCTTGTCTCTCCTCACTCCAATCACCATTAAGACCTTTCCCCCTACCTGACCCCAACTATCGGAAAGCGATATTGTTCCCAACATAAGGTAGATGTTACGCTCATCTCATTGGAAGCAAGTACTGATTATGACATGCAACGTGGGTCGATCTAATAGCAGAGAGGAGTCGATCAAATAGCAGAGAGGAGTCATTCTTTTGTGCAATTACAGATATGTTTATCGTATTTTGATTTGAAGCTACAATATGATCTGTTGTAATTTATGACTTTGGTTAGCATAGTTTATTTTAGCACTCCATACATGATTATATAAGGCAGATGTGTTGTACTGGAAATATCGTCATGGGCCCTGAGACAAGAGGTCCCAAAAAGGTCCTTGATGTTGCCTAATAACTGAAACTCATAAAAATGTTAGCGACAGGCCTGGTTGTATGCTACATACAAAAACATTCTAGAGTCATCATTAGAGTGTGTTGTCAACCAGGACCACAACCTTCTCAGATGGCACATCTTCAAAAGACAACACATTATGTGATGTTCTGTTCAAAATATCTCCATAGTTCATCTGGTTTTATGCACATCATATTACTCCAACAAGGCACTTTTTATTACTTATATTGAGCCGCTCTCTCCTCCTTTTGAGTCGCAAGACTGGAACGATTCACAACTGGAAACAGTCCAGCGGACCGCATTAGACGTCTGTAAAGCTACATGTGTAAAGGCAATTTGATGAAGAGAAGCACTCCGTGCTGAGGACAGTATCAGCCCGCATATGAACGAGGCCACAACAAAATCAATAACTTCATAAAAGCAGATCTGCAACAGTCTACTGTAATAACATTTTTATTGTTGATCTAGCCAGCATTGATCTGTACGCTCACGGAGTCGTCACCTTAAGGTAGCCTTCCTTATTTTGTCATTGAATGTGTGGAATAAAAAACCCGGAATGGGTCTACCTTGAACTTTAGAAGCTAAAATCAATACTAGCGACCAATAGCGTCCACATAGACGGATCTACTGCGTAGAATGGATATTTACACAGCTACAGAGGACCAGGTTTGCACGGAAGACTCGACAGATCACACAACGCCTGGCTCCTGTCCTGAAATATGGCCGGAAAACTGTTACAACTGTATAAATCTTGTCCACGTGCGAGTGGATATCCAGACTTGCTATCAAGATGGCAGCTTTTTGTAGCTGGGTACATTGAAACTGCAACAATGAGGGACATTTTGAAATCGAGAAGGTATGCGAAATCGATCATCATCATACAGTACTATGAGGAACAAATGAGAACATACAAATGGAATATTTGCCCCGAGGTCAGAGATGAGACTTCCTCAAATCTGTCATCTCCATTTGAACTGTCTCCCATAATGACTTTTCTATAAGAAGCGTCTCATGGATTCACACGGATACAAGTTAAGGAAGATAACGCAGCTTATTTGAGCATGTTGGAAAACAACTGCTACATCTTCGATACCAACCACGTCATCCTGGTTTCTGAGGCCAGATTCATGTATAGTTTTGAGCACTGCCAGACACTGCTTTTCTGCTAAGAGGTATAATAATGATGTTGTGTTGCTGGTTTGGAGATATGAAATGGTTTTATAGCACTTAACAGCCTGGCACAGCCGCATGAGTTTGTTTTAAACACCAACGGCACTGATTGAATACTCATTTATTATAATCATAGCTCACATGACGATAGCAAACACCACCCGCCCACATACATTTGTTTTGCTCTGTCATTTGTTTCCCCCTTTTGTATGTTTTTTTGTGCTTATGAATATGAAGGTTTACGGTTACATGGAGCACTTTAATTAATGAACATAACAAAGATAAGAGTTCCTTTCATTGTGGATATTGCTGTTCCCATGTGATAACAGATTAGACAAATGACATTTTTGGCTCTCTACTGGAAGCGAAATCAGGGAATGTTAGTGACGCGTGGTAATTTTGCCAAACACAGATGTTTACTAATTGAAGTATTTATCTCAAGCTTTTAACCTTAAAAATAAAATGAATAGAGCATAATTTAAGATGGGTTGCAGTAAAAGAACGCTAAGATTACCTATAATAATAATAATATAAGACGCTTTTACAGAATGAAACTGATACTTGAAACTGCTTCATTTTAGCTCCTATAGAATTTGAAAACTATTTTAAAAGTTATGAAGTACGTCGAGTGTGTAGAATTAAGGCCAAATTATATTTTTATTCATTTTTATTCATTTGTTTTTTTATTTGTGACAAACACAATGCATAGTTATGTAAAGGCTTTTGGTTATGATGTGGTTATGAAAAGTCCAAAGTACTACAACCTCCATGAAAACACTCTTGCTTATTGTGCAAAGAGGGTTGAAGCTTTCAGTTACCACATGGGGGATGGACGGACAGCTCTTCTCTCAACCCGATAAAAGACAAGGACCTCATGTACACGCTACTGATAACGTCACCGCAGGTTAGGGCATCTAAATCTACATATGTAGCAACTGCTGTGGAAACAGGGTGGGGAACGATCTTCTAAATCCATCACGTGAGGAACAACTAGACCAAAACGGAGGGAGAAGGATCCCTGAATTGGGATATTAGAGATTGTTTGCAAATGCTTTCAGTTCGAGACTGTTAGAGGATGGGACTCATTCTCTTTGGAAACATTTCCACTTTCTGGGAGATGAAGTTTCGTTGGAGCACAAACATTTTGTCTTGCTGCACATTGTTTATTAGTGACACACTTTTAGCAGAATCTAGAAGAACATGAGACAAACATCTTGAACTTGTGTAAATATACCTGCAGGGACTTGGAGATAATAATGTGAAGAGTTGTGAGATATTGGTGAATGCTTATATTCCCCCTTTTTTTAAACATTGCATATAAAAAATCTGATGGGTGAGTTCACTAAGAATGAAACCACTGATAGCGTTGTTTATTTGCACACGCGCCCGATTCACTAAAATAATTATGCAGATCAATTAACGGTACAAATGCACGCACAGAATCTGTGCTGAATGCAATTTGTAAATCCTTATCTTGGTTGTGAAGAATGCAGGAGACTTGAATCTCCAGTACTGAGATCCGGGCACTTGAATCAACTCTTTAAAATGCTTAAAGTGCACTTTACTACAACTCGCATCATGTGACTGGTTGTAATGTTCTTCTCCATCATTCAATCAACATTTGATGAATTATGTACGCAAACATCTGCTTAAAATGTCAAATGGTTTACCGCCTGATTTCTGTCTGGAGTGATAGCCAATAACGATGAGTTGATAACCTAATTTACATAAGGCGTGTATACAGTGCGCTGAAAACAATGACTTCATTTAAATAAAGCGCTGAACTATTTTACCACTTTTAGCGTATGGTTGAACGATTGTAGGTGATTGGTTAGAAAATACAGGGTTTTTACTTTGTTTAGTGAATTCACCCATAAATATTTTTTTCTTTTCCTTTTTTTTCCCATTTTTCCTCATTTTTGTTTAACACATTTGTCAACTAGTTGATTTAGGCACATAAAATCCCCTTCATATTTTTAAAATTGGCCCTATAACTCAAAAAGGGGTTTATAATGACCCTGCCATCATATATTTTACAGTATTGAGAGGCAATAAGCTTTACTAAAAACAATGTTAGGGTACTTATAATATGTTTGGGCATTTAATGTTAAAATTGAATTAATTTGCAGTGTTTTTGAGTCTACCTTTGCTGTCCTGATCATGCATATTTGCATATCAAATCTGCAGTGTCAGATGGAAACAAGCACATGTTGTTCTTTTGGGTCCTTCTCATTTTGTTGTATTTTTGATCATTTCTTTTATCTGCTCACTGGAACTTATTTTGCATGTGTCAAGGTAGTCAGAAAGTATCGGTAGACTAAGCACAGTTTAAAAAGTCATTTTATATCACAAAGGACAAATAAAGGGAAGAAAAACATCTTCCTATAACATTGACATTTGTAATGGTTGTTCCTCGTGATTTTACTACTGTACGTCAATGAGAAAATGTGAATAGTATTTTTATAGACAGTTGAATTTGGCCAGATGTATTTGTAAATAGCTGAGAAAACTTGCGCTCTTTTTTTCCCCCATTATGTTTTGTTCACTTATATTGAGTGTGAGATTATTATTCTTATTTGATGGCTGTATATATCTTTAATTTGAACAGCACATATTTGATTTTGTAGATCTTGCAGGTTATTTTAGTATTCGGTGTGTTTTTTCGTGACCGTATGTAGCCCGGCTTGGTGCTTTTTGTGTTCTTTAACCCCTGCCCATGCTCAAGAGGTAGATGTTTTCTTTCTGTCAGGTATAGCTCCTCCTTCACCCCACAATTTTCTCTTTTTGTACAGAATGCAGCGTGGGGAATCTGCAGCTGTGTGACGATAGCATTTGAATCTCCCAGGAATCTCTCTCAACTCCAGTTATGCTTTCCCTGACTTTAGTCCGGGTCATGATAGTGTCTAGTTCTTTCTCAGTATGTAATTCCTATTCATGCACAATCTCCCATCTCGTTTCCCATCTGCAGCCAACCACACGGTGAGCTCAGGCTTAGCGAGCGATTACGGCGAAAGCCACAGTCCCTGAGCTCAACCTTCTCAAATGCATCCGCCATGGTGTTTCTCCAAGAGATTCATAAGTCAGAGTGTATTATTCATGCTGTCAAGAGGACTAATTGCCTGGAGTGTTCATTTGGCCGCATTGTGATTGAGTGACGGCTCGTCAAAACTAAAGTCAAGTCTTGTCATTTTTGATCCAGGCATACAGTGAGAGTTGAGAAGCCCATCTTCAGCTCTGGTCACAGTAACTTTCTCCACCACAGCTTTCCCATTCCCCAAAGCTAGAGCATTTAAATACTGTTCCACAGTTTTGTTACCTGAATCTATATTTTTAATTTAATATAAATAAATAAATACAACACCTGATATGTGAGTCTGTGTGTGTGTGTGTTTTCAAAAGTGAATGCATCTCACATTCTTTAAACATGTCATTAACCCTCAAACAGGCAAGAGTGGAAAACCATCGGCAAAAATATGTATATATAAAAAAAGTATTTTAATATTTCATATAGTTTGGATTTTATAAGTTGTATCTCTCAGGATGCGTTGCCCTATTAGGGTATAAAAAGCCAAAGTCATCAATTTTTCAGATTTATTTGATGAAAAAGAAAATTAATATGCAAAATATATCCCGCATGTATGACATGTCAAAGTGTCCTAAAATT